TGAATGTTCCATGGCACTTGAAAAGAATGTTTGTTTTGCTGTTCTTGGGTATGAAGTGTTTTATAAACATTCAGTTAGGTTTTTGATAGTGTTTTTTAAAATATTCTGCATCCTTACTTGTATCTGTCCACTTTTTCTATCAGTTGCTGAGAAAGGTGTGTTAAAATCTCAGTTTAAATATTTTCAGTTTTTTCTTTTTGAGACGGAGTTTTGCTCTTGTTACCCAGGCTGGAGTGCAATGGCGCGATCTCGGCTCACCGCAACCTCCGCATCCTGGGTTCAGGCAATTCTCCTGCCTCAGCCTCCTGGGTAGCTGGGATTACAGGCATGCACCACCATGCCCAGCTAATTTTTTGTGTTTTTTTAGTAGAGACGGGGTTTCACAATGGTGACCAGGATGGTCTCGATCTCTTGACCTCATGATCCACCCGCCTCGGCCTCCCAAAGGGTTGGGCGCGCCCGGCCATATTCTCAGTTTTTAAAAACATGTTTTAAACACAAGTTTATCATTTACTAGAGGCTTGTTTATCTCTACTCATTAAAATTACCCCTTCTGTGTTCTCTACTGAATGTCCCTGGTATTCAACTAAGATTCTCTCCTCTCTTACTGGTCACAACTCAAATGTATCCGAATCCTGTGTGAGAAATATTCTTGGAATATTATGTTTAATGCTACTATTGTTCTTTGCCTGCCCTTGTTGTGTTTAATACTATGCATATGCAAAAAAAAAAAAAAAAAAGATTAGCCCCATACTCAAATTCTACAGATTTCTTTAGCTATTTTCCACTGTAGAGTCCCTCTCATTGGGTAGTATGCCTCACAAATTCTGGTTGTTCAGAGTTCCCAAACTCTAGTCTCTTGTTGCAACTCAGTGAGACTGTTATATTCTTCTTGGTACCCCTCTCCCTGCATCAAGGTCTGGGAAGTGCTTCTAGGCAGATATCGAGCTATCATTAGGGGCTCTCTGTTTATTTGCTTTCTCTCAGGGATTACAGTTCTGCACTGCCTGTTGTCTAGTGTTTGAATACAGTTGTTTTATATAATTTGTCCAGTGAGAAATAGATTTTAAGTTGTGGTCTTCATACCAGAGTATAAGAAACACTAGTGTAAGTGGATAGTAAATCAGAGTCAGTAGATAGCCAGTGCTCCTCCTGGTGAGGGCTACCAGGGCTCTGACTCTGTCGGCTCCTCCCGCAAACACTCACTAAGATGTGGTTTGCTGGTGCTTAGTTTGGCTCAAGCCAAAGGTGGTTCCTGATGTCTATAAATATTTACTAAAAGTAGGGACTGTGTGTGTTCTTTCCAAAACAAACAAGCTGTAAGTATAAAGTTCCTTTTAAGAAGCAAGAAATAACTTTTCCAACAATGGCCGTACTACCTTCTGTTGGGTTAGTGATCTGAGAGCCAAGCAAAACTAAGTTGAGGTAAGTTACATCTGCTTTTTCTTTGTGGAGCCATCTTGCTTCACTATGTTCCATGTTCTTAGCTAAACAAATCAGGAACCTAATTCAAGCTTAATCATTGTGTGGCTGAGTGTATGTGTGTGCTCCTCCTATCAATTTGTAATGGACCAGGGAAACTGCCAATATATATTATTGGATCCCAGTTTTTAAAATCCTCATGTATATGTATTGATATTTATAACATATGAACAAAAAGATGAAAGTATACATGTCAAAGTATAAACATTTTTTTTTATCCAAGAAGTAGACTGAGTGAGGGAAAGCAGAGACTACCTAAGTTTTACTTTAAATAACTTTAATTTATTGTTTGAATAATTATAACATTGATTATAACAACTTATATTCTTGATTACATAAAAGTCTAGAAATAATATATTTTCCTGGTGAATCATTTATTTGATCATTATGTAATAACTTTATCTTTAATTTTTTTCCAGTGTACATTTTATTTTCTTAGGCTCCTTTTTAAAAAGGTTTTTTTTAATCTTTGATTTAATTAATCACAGTTTTTTTCATTTCTCTTCTGACCTCTAATTTTTGATTTTTAATTTGTTTTTCATGCTTTATGTAATTATTCTTGAAATTATGACCATCATTTATTTGACAAAGTCTAAAGTTCATCATTAGCTCTATAATCTTATAATACAAGGAGCTTTAAATGTTTAACTCTTACCTCTTTCATGATCCAGAATCATTTTCTTGCTGAGAATGTTAGTTCTACCTTATTTTAGCTCTATCTTCATTCAGATATTGTTTTAATTGCTTTGCATAATAAATGTATATTTAATTCCTTGTATGTATTTGTTAATGTCTTCTCTCACTGCTTATTTTGTTTTATAACTTGCTTTTGAGTTTACTTATTTTCTTCTTAAAATATGTATTTTAATGATTTTTTCATCTAGAATCTATGAGTAGTAAACCTTGGCATGTGGAAGATATTACATATTTTCCTTCTGGCTTTTCTTGTTGATATGAGAAGTATGCTGTTATTCCGGAGATCTTTAGTTATTATAAATGTTTTCTTCTCAATCTGGTTGATTTAATGATTGTCTCTTTCTTTGGTGTCCTGAAGTTTCAATATACTTCTATCATAGTGAATAGAGTTTTATTTATACTTCTTGCAATTTTTTGATGCTTTTTAAATGTTAATTCATATCTTTTATCAGTTCTGAAATTCTAAGCTATTAATATTTTGGCTGTCATCTCCCATCTCTACTTATGGCCTCAGCCTTTCAAATTTCTCCTTGAATAATTTCTGTTAGATGCTTTCTGGACTTCTTATTCCAATGTACTGTGTGTACCTCTACTGTTTGCCTTCCTTAACCTCCTTCTGCTGTCTTCCATTTTATCAGTTTTCATTAGCTTTTTCTACTTGTTATTGAACCCATCCATTAAGTTTTAAATTCTAGTATTATGCTATTATTATTCATTTTCATTGCTTTATTTCATCCATTTAGATATATTATTTGACTCTTTTTATCTATTTTATAAGCCCCTGTCCTTTTTTTAACATGTTTATCACTTCTTTATTTTTTTAAAAACATTTTAAAAACTCTAATTATGAAAGTAATTTTGATTGTTCTATTATCTGTGTTTTGTTGTTGTACATTCTCCCATTTTGGGCAGTGGGATATTTAGATTATCATTCATGGCTTTGAACTCATTTATATACTTATTATTACCTCTATGCTTGACTTCTCTGAGAATTATTTTCTATAGTGGCTTTACTCCCATACATTTGCTTAGCTATGGAAGCCTCCCTTTAGGGATGATTGTGTCTTCCTGAACCCTCTAGTATACACTGGCCATATGTCCAGTTTTTATATTATTGTTGATTCTTCATGTTTCTGCAAATTACATGGCTCAGTTTTGAACCTATTTATTTAGGCATAGGGTTCTGATATCATGTTGACTCTATCTTGTCCCCATACTAGGGCAGGAGAACTATTTTACTGTAACTCTAATCAGATAAGCTCAGATATTCATGTTTTCCTTCAGCAAATTGTTATCTCCCAGTTTCCTATAGTTAGCTCATTTTTGTCTGTCAGCAAGGTAGGGCCATGAGTCTAAAAGTCCATCTGATATGGTTTGGATGTGGTCCAAATTTCATGTCACATTGTAATCCCCAATGGTGAAAGAGGGGTCTGGTGAGAGGTGACTGGATTATGTGGGTGGACTTCTCCCTTGTTTTTCTCATGATAGTGAGTGAGTTCTCACAAGATCTGGTTGTTTAAAAGTGTGTAGCACCTCCCCCTGTGCACTCTTTCTCCTGCTCCAGTCAGGCTTCTCCTTCACCTTCTGCCATGAATGTAAGTTTCATGAGGCCTCCTCAGCCATGCTTCCTGTACAGCCTTTGGAACTGTGAGTCAATTGAACCTCTTTTCTTTATAAATTACCTAGGGTCAGGAGGTTTTTTATAGCAAAGGATTTGATCTTGGTCAAATAGTCACCATGTTAGCTCAGTTCTGTTTTACTGGGAAGTCTTTTTGCCTTTATTTCGCATCTAGGAATTTACCTTTCTTGTTTTCAGCTTTATGTATTAACATTTTTCATTTCTAGTTTGCCTAGAATATCTGTGTGTTAGGATGTGGATGAATAGGCCGGGTGTGGTGGCTCATGCCTGTGATCCCAGCATTTCGGGAGGCCAAGATGAACAGGTTGCTTGAGTCCAGGAGTTCAGCCTATGCAACTTGGTAAAATCCCAACTGTACAAAAAATTAGCTGGGCATGGTGGCACATGCCTGTAGTCCCAGCTACTTGGGAGGCTGAGTGGTATGATCACCTGAGCCTGGGAGATAGGGGCTGCAGTAAGCCATGATTGTGCCACTGTACTTCAGCCTGGGTGAGAGAATGAGACTTTGTCTACATACAACCAGGAAGTAGTTGAGCAACCAAATACATAATTTTTTAAATTATGTAGTCTGTATTTTAAGTGTTTTGCATGTTTATTGAGATAAAGTTAACAGGAGTTACTTACTTAAAACATTTGATTTTCTAGATCCTCAGTAAATTCAATTGTAATTTTTAGGATTTGTGCATATTATTATTATTTTTACTTTTTGGACACAAGGGCTTACTCTTTTGTCCAGGCTATAGTGCAGCAGTGAAATTATAGCTTAGTGTAACCTTGAAGTCTTGGGCTGAGGCACTCCTACTGCCTCAGCATCCCAAGTAGCTAGGACTGCAGGTGCACATAACTATGATGGTCTAGTTGTTGCCATTATTATTGTTATTAATGTAAAGAAGCATCTGTCTGTGTTGCCCAGGCTGGTCTTGAATTTTTAGTCTCAAGTGATCCTCTTGCCTTGGCTTTCTAAAATGCTGGGATTACAGGTATGAGCCACCGCACCCAGCCTGTGAATAATATTGATATATTTTTGCTTTTGTTTTACTATTCTCTATTTTATATATTTTAAAATATCTTTACTGACTTTGTTTAATATATTATTTTAAAAATATATTGAAATATATAGATTTGATGTATTTTTTAAATAAAACAATATGGTTTTAAGTAAATGTTTATTGCTTTTTCATAGGATGAATCTTGAAGAAGAATTAGATGAACTTAAAGTACATATATCTATTGATAAGGCAGCAATACAAGAATTGAATAGATGTATGGCAGAGAGAAGAGAAGGTAAATTTTCAGAAAATAAATATTTAACAGAGGAAATTTAAAATGTTTTAATTCTTGGTGTTTTCGTTTCCATTTATTTTAAGAATCTTACTCTTTTTATGCCTTTTTTCAATACTTTATTCATTGATAACTCACTAACATTTTCATCATGAGAAAATTAAATAAATAGAACATCTAAAGGTCAGATTTATAATTTATTTTAAAAATCTATGGGAGAAGTTGCTGCAAGATGGACAAATCGAAGGCTTTATATTCTGTGGGAACTCCAAATTTAACAACTATCTACAAACAAAAAAAACCACCTACATAAGAACCCAAAATCAGGTGAGCACTCACAGTACCAGGTTTTAACTTCAAATGGCTGAAAGAGGGTAGAAAAGACTATCTTGAATTACTAATGCCAGACTTCCCTGATTTCCCGGCAGTAGCCACATGGCAGAGAGAGAGAACTGTACACTTGGGGGAGGGAGAATGCAGTGACTGTTGGAATTTGCCTTGAACTCAGTCCTTCCCTGTCATAGCAGAGAGCAAAACTGGGCTGCGTGCATCTGATGCCTGCCCACAGAAAGGGCATTTAGTCCAGACCTCTCCAGAGGAGAATCTCCCATCCCAGTGCTTAGAACCTGGGTTCTGTCAAGCCTCATCACCACAGGGCTCTACGGCTCTATGTAAACTTAAAAGACAGTCTAGGCCACAATTACTTCAACTCCTAGGCAAGCCCTAGTACTGAGCTGGGTTCAGAGCCAGTGGACTTGGATGGCATGTGACTTACTGAGTCACCAGCCAGGGCAACTGATGGGGTATTTGTGCTACTGCTCTCCCATCCCTAGGCAGCATGGCTCATGGCTCTAAAAGGAACCCCTTCTGTCTGCTTGAGGAGGAGAGAAGAAAGAGTAAAAAGGTCTTTGTCTTGCATCTTGGACACCAGCTCAGCCACAGTAGGATAGGGAACTAGTTAGATTTATGAGACCCCTATTCTAGGCCCTAGCTCCTGAATGACATTTCTAGATACATCCTGGCCTAGAAGGGAACCTGGTGCTTTGAAGGTAAGGATGCAGTCCTGGCAGGATCTATCACCTACTGACTAAGGAGTCTTTGGGCCCCAAATAGCCAGCAGTGATACCCAGATGGTACACTGTGGGTCTTCCTGAGACTCTGAGATGTGGTGGCTTTGGGTGAAACCCAGTGCTTCCCAGCTGTGGTGGCTGTGGTAAGAGACTCCTGCTTGAGAAAAGCAGAGGGAAAAGTAAAGGGTAATTTGTCTTGCACCTTAGGTACCAGCTCATCCACAATGCGTTAGAGCACCAAGCTGCTTGTGGGGTTACTGATACCAGGTCTTGGCTCTTAGTTGGCATTTCTAGACCTGCCTTGGGCCAGAGGGAAGCCCACTGCCCTGAAGGGTGAGTTCCAGGTCTGGCAGCATTTGCAACAAGCTGACTGAAGAGACCTTGGGCCTTAAGGAACATTGGCAGTGGCCTGGTAGTATTCCCTGTAGGACTGCAGTGGTGGTGACCACAGAGAGAGACTCCTTTGCCTTTGGAAAGGGAAGGGAAGAGTGGGAAGGACTGTGTCTGGTGGTTTGAGTGCCAGCTTAGCTGCAGTAGAATAGAACACCAGGTGGATTTCTAAGGTTTTTTAGTCTACTCTCCAGCTCTTAGATGGCATCTTTGGTCCCAGCCAGGGCCTGAGGGATCTTGCTACCCTGGAGGGCATGACACAAGTCTGGCTGGCTTCACAGTCTGCTCTTTGCAGAGCCCTAGGGCCTTGAGCAAACCTGGGTGGTAGCCAGATAGCAGTTACATTGAGCCTTGGGTGAGACTCAGGGATATACTGGTGTCAGGTCTGACCCAGCATAGTTTTAGTGATGGTGGCCACAGGGGTGCATTTGTCACTCCATCTCCAGCTCCAGAAGGCCCAGCAAAGAGAAATAGACTCTGTTTGAGAGAAAGGAAAGAGAACAAGAGTCTCTGCCTGGTAATTCAGAGAATTCTTCAGGATGTTATCCAAGACTTCCCAGGCATTCGTTCTAGACGTCTGCAAGAACCGCAGTGTTACTGGGCTTGGGGTGCCCACTAATGCAGATATGGCTTAGATCACAACACCCAAGTTCTTTCAAATACTTGGAAAATCTTCTCAAGAAGGATGGGTACAAACAAGCAGAGACTGCAAAGACTAAAATAAGTATCTAAGTTTTAAATTCCCAGACACCACCAAACATCCACAAGCATCAAGACTATCCAGGTGATATGGTTATGCTTTCTGTTCTCACCCAAAACTCATCTTGAAATGTAATGACCATAATCCCCACCTCTCAAGGGATAGATCAGGTGGAGGTAATTGAATCATAGGGGTGGTTACCCCATGCCATTCTCATGATAGTAAGTGAATTCTCATGAGATCTGATGGTTTTATGAGGGGCTCTTTCCCCATTTGCTTGGCATTTCTTCTTCTTGCCACCTTGTAAAGAAGATATCTTGGTTCCCTTTTGCCTTCTACCATATTGTAAGTTTCCAGAGGCCTCCCCAGCCATGCTAAGCTGTGAGTCAATTAAACCTCTTTCCTTTATTACCCAGTCTTGAGCAGTTCTTTATAGCAGTATGAAAACAGACGAATATACCAAGAAAACATGACTTCATCAAAGAAATTAAATAAGGTACCTGGGACCAATCCTGCAGCTAGAGAAATATATGGTCTTTCAGACAGAGAATTCCAAATAACTGTTCTGAGGAAACTAAAAGAAATTCAAGATAACATGGAGAAGGATTTCAGAATTCTATCAGAGAAATTTAACAAAGTGATTGAAAAAATAAAAAAGAATCAAGCAGAAACTCTGGAATAAAAATTGCATTGGAGTCTCCGCATAGCAGAATTGATCAAGCAGAAGAAGGAATTAGTGAGCTTGAAGACAGGCTATTTGAAAATACGCAGTCAGGGGGGCTGTGTTGGCTCATGCCTGTAATCCTAGCATTTTAGGACGCTGAGTTGGGAGGATCACCTGAGGTCAAGAATTCGAGACAAGCCTGGCCAACATGGCAGAAGACCTTCTCTACTAAAAATACAAAAATTAGCTAGGTGTGATGGCACATGCCTGTGATCCGAGCTACTCAGGAGGCTGAGGCAGGGGAATCACTTGAACTTGGGAGGCAAAGGTTGCTGTGAGCCAAGATCATGCCACTGCACTCCAGCATGGGAAACAGAGTGAGACTCCATCTCAAAAAAAGAAAAAAGAAAGGAAGAAAGAAAAGAAAATATGCAGTCAGAGGATACAAAAGAAAAAGAATAAAAAACAATGAAGCATGCCTACAAGATTTATAAAATAGCCTCAAAAGACAAAATCCAGGAGTTATAGGTCTTAAAGAGGAGGTTGTGAGAGAGATGGGTACAAAGTTTATTCAAAGGAAAATAACAGAACTTTTCAAACCTAGCAAAAGATTACAATATTTAACTGTGAGAAAGTTGTAGAACACCAAGCAGATTTAACCCAAAAAAGACAACCTGAGCCGGGCGCGGTGGCTCACGCATATAATCCTAGCACTTTGGGAGGCTGAGGCGGGTGGATCACGAGGTCAAGAGATCAAGACCATCCTGGTCACCATTGTGAAACCACATCTCTACTAAAAATACAAAAAAAATTAGCTGGGCATGGTGGTGCGTGCCTGTAGTCCCAGCTACTCGGGAGGCTGAGGCAGGAGAATTGCTTGAACCCAGGAGACAGAGGTTGCAGTGAGCCGAGATCGTGCTATTGCACTCCAGTCTGGGTAACAACAGCGAAACTCTGTCTCCAAAAAAAAAAAAAAAAACCTGAAGTTAAACTCCCAAGGGTCAAGGATAAAGAAAGGATCCTAAAAGCAACAAGAGAAAAGAAGCAAATAATGTGCAAGGGAGCTTCAGTACACTCGCAGCAGACTTTTATGTGGAAACTTTACAGGCTAGGAAATAGTGGCATGACATATTTACAGTGCCAAAGGAAAAAACAACAACAACAAACTTTTGCCCTGGAATAATATGTCCTGCAGAAATATCCTCCAAACATGAAGAAGAAATACTTTCACAGACAGATAAAAGCTGCAGATTTCATCAACACCAGACCTATCTTATAAGAAATCATAAATGGAATACTTCAATCAGAAAAAAGGATATTAATGAGTAATAAATAATCTGAAAGTACAAAACTCACTGGCAATAGTAAGTACACAGAATGACATACAATATTATAGCACTGTAAGAGTGGTATAGAAACTACTTGTATCTAAAGTAGAAAGACTTAAAGATGAGCCAAGAAAAAAATAACTAAAAAGTTTTCAAGACATAGAACAATAAGATATATACAACAAAAAGTTAAAAAGAGGCTGGACAAAGTTATATAATTTTTATCAGCTTTTCTTTTGCTTGTCTATGCAAACAGCATTAAGTTATCAATCTGGTTAAAATAATGGGTTATAAGATAGTATTTGCAACACTTAATTGTAACCTCAAATGAAAAACCATACAATGGCCACACAAAAAATAAAAAGGAAGAAATAAAATCTTCTTTCTATTTTAGGAGAAGAAGGTAAGAGAAAATTACATTCACTGCAAGGAAAACAAGAAAGAATTAATGAAGGAAAAGAAGACTACAAAATAACTAGGAAACCAATACCAAAATGGCAGGAGTAAGTCCTTACTTATGAGTAATAATATTGAATGTAAGTGGACTAAACTCCTTAATTGAAATACATAGAGCATCTGAAAGGATGTAAAAATCAGAGCCACTCTTTGTTGTGTCCAAGAAACACTTCATATATAAAGGGACATATAGGCTGAAAATAAGCAAATGGAAAAAATATTCCATGCCAGTGCAAGCCAAAGAAGAGCAGGAGTAGCTATGCTAATGTCAGACGAAATAGATTTCAAGCAAAAAGTGTAAGAAGAGACAAAGGTCATTATATAATGATAAAGGTGTCAATTTAGTAAAAGGCTATCATAGTTGTAATTATATATTCACCCAACACTGGAGTGCC